GGAGAGAAGGATATGGTTCCAGCGCTTTATTCCATACGACGGTCTGATATTTTGCCCGCTTTATGTGGAGAATCAGTGCATCTTGAGTCGGACCCCGAGGTAGGGCGTCGAGATCTTTCTTGGATTTACGAAACACTGCTGCTCTTTCCTTGTTGATTTCCACCTCTTGTGTTCCCGGATTGTAGATGTGACCGAGCCGCGCGAGTAGGGGAGGTAGCGAATGACGACCAATGAAAGACAAAACGCATACGAAACAAACAAGAATTTAATGGCCAATTAGTGGAAAAGAAATACAATAACAACAAATACTAGAAAAACGAATAAAGCAACAAAAAGGGAACAAAAGGGCGATGAAAAGGGCAATAGCGCTAAAAGGAAACAACGACGCTAAAAATTACTAAGACGGCTAAACAATACAACTAAGGGAACAATAGTACACTGAAATGTAAAAAGGTAAACAAAACACGCTAGGAAACATGCTAGGTCACGAAAGAAGAACAAGCGTGACAAATAGCACGTGACTCGTGTCAGGAGTCATATGATACGAAGACAAGAAAACAAACGCTAAACGAGGTCAAACTGAAAGGTTGTGATCTACGATCTCGCATAAAACGGTGACAAAACTACGCAAAACACTAAGCTAAAGGAATAACAACGGCTAAGAAACGAAAGGATAATGACTTCAGAGCGAAAGTGCTCGATACAACAGCGGAAAACAACAAAACCAAGAAACGATGAAATCTACAACAGCAAAGTAATACTACGGTCGCTGGACGTTTCATAAACACGATGACCTCGGAGGAGAACGAAAAACATCCTACGAAAAACAGCAAAAGGAGAACACTTACCCACTCCAGCGAGGGGAGAACTCTACAAAACTATGTCCTACGGCTTGACTAGTGAACGCGGGAACTGGAACTGTACTAATGCGTAGAAACGCTACGTGCAGGCGTATTTATATCGCACTGAACACAAACAGCTCGCATCCTGTTATTAGCAATACGATTGGACAACTACAGCTAGGTAAGCCACAAAACAGTGAAATCTGCCTTTTGGCAATACGCCTGTTTGCGAAACACTATTATCGCTTTACCGCAGAATACATACGTGTCCTGTTAATACAATAGGAGGAAACAAATGGAGAGTTTCGCGGTTAACTACAGCAATGGCGGCAGATTAAAGCGAGCTAAAATCAATTAATTTCTTTCCTGTTTATGGGTGTAAAGGCGGAGAAATCACAGAGCTAGATAAAGCACGGCTAACCACAAAGCACAACTAAAGAAACGCGTACCGTGGGAAAACGATAAACGGAACCGCAAAAAAATGATACCGAAAAGAAAATGCTTTGTGAGCTAATTATCGAGCTCGGTTACATTTCTCCCCTGCTTAGGTCGTCGTCCTCGACAGACCACAACAATGCTTATTTAAACTAACAAACTTGTTTTACCAAAGGCTATATGCTAAGAACCAAAATAACAAAATGAAATATACTGGAAAGTCTTTAACAGTCAATGTCACTGAGTTATTTACTGCTGATCTTGGAGCTCTATGGGGATTAGAATGCTGCCCTGCTGTCGTCCGGGTGGAGCGTCTCATGGTCATCTCTTCAGGGGGCTCTGGGGCTGGGTGTTCCACATGAACTGGTTCTTCGGGGGTCTCTGCAACTGGGGGTACTGGAACGGCAGGTTCAACAATCTCAGGTTCAACAACCTCAGGTTCTGCATAGGGCGCTTGATCTCCTGGGGTCGCTTCAATGGGCGTTTCTGGAACTGGGGGCTCACTGGTTTCTGATTCTTCCGCGGGGTTCACAGGCTCACAGGGTTCTGGAGGTGCTGTGTTCAATACAAGACGGGGGCGTCTTCTCATCACGATTATCTCTTCTTCATCATCTTGGGGTTCAGTGGGCACTCTGTTATGTCTCACTCTTGGGGGAATCAAATCTGTCTGCACAATGGGGTTGGTGTCAAGGCATGGCTGTACCTGCCTATGACATGGTCTCATCAGGGTCCGATATACTCTCTTGCTGGGTCCATCTCCATGGGCTGGAGCAACTGTATAAACAGCTCCTGTAGGTCCTGGCGTCTCTTGAACTTTGTACAAGGTAGGATCCCAAGCATCCTGTATCTTGTTTCTGCCTCGAGGATGACTGCGTAGGTAGACAAACTGGCCTTTTTCAATTGGCTGTTCATTGGTACTCTTGTCGCTGATGGCTTTCCGAGCACCTGCTTGCTGTCTGAGGTGCTCCCCTGCTTTGAGGTAAGCATCTCGTAAGCGGTCTTGGTGGGAGGCTAGCCAGTCTGTTTCAGGTGGATCCTTTTCGTCTGCTCCAAGCATTAGGTCTAGTGGTAAGCGGGGGTTACGGCCAAACATCAGGTAATACGGAGAATAGCTGGTGGATGCATGAGGGACAACATTATAGGCATAAAGAAGTTCTGGGAGGTACTCTGGCCACTTTCTCTTCTTTTCTGGTGGGAGTGAACGCAACAAGTTGTGCATGGTTCTGTTAAATCTTTCACATTGGGCATTGCCTTGCGGGTGATAAGGAGTGGTACGCGACTTCTTAATGTCGTACAGCTTACAGAGTTCGGTGATGACTGCATTCTCAAAACTTCTTCCTTGATCGGAGTGGATTCTCAGTGGGACACCATATTTGAAAAACCATTCCTTAAGGAGTACTTTAGCTGTGGTGCTCGCCCGCTGGTCTCTGGTAGGAACTGCGTGTGTGAACTTTGTGAAAACATCTGTCATCACCAACACGTTCTCTCTGCCATCTGTGGCTGGCTCCAACAGTGTGAAGTCGATCGCAAGAACTTCTAAGGGTTTAGTAGCTAAGAGGTGTCCCATGGCTGGTCTAACACGTGGTAATGGTTCTTTAGACAAGGTACATCTTTCACATTTCTTTATCCATGCTTCTACATCGCTATGTATTCCCGGCCAGTAGCAACGGTCTCTAATCAGATGTAATGTTCGCTCTGTCCCCTGGTGGCCCATACCATCATGTAGGCTGGTGAGTACTTTCTCTTTAAGTTTCTTGGGAAGGATCAACTGCTTTCGTTGGCCGCAATGGGGATCTTGAATGACTCGATACAGTATGCCATTTTCCTCTTCAACCTTGTCCCATTGGTTGAGCAATGTAACAGCATCTCTTGTTTCTCCTCTTCTTTCTTGGGGGGTGGGTTTGCGGTTGTTTTGCCTGTAGTAGTGGAGGCGACTAATGACGGGGTCTGCAATCTGCATGTCTTGTAGCTCAGCTGGGCTGTGAGAGGGTAGGCTGGTGAATGTTGTCTCTGGGGTACTTGTGCTCATTTGTTCTTGGGAGGTGTAGGTCGTCACCAACTCTCTTAGCTCGACTGGTACTGGGGTGGATTGCGTGACGCTAATGTTTTCCAACTGAATCTCAGCTAAATCGTCAGCATGCGGGATTTCCTTTTCATGATTTCCACGTGCTACTCTTGAAAGTGCATCTGCATTTCCATTAGCTCTACCAGGGCGGTACTTCATCTTAAAGTTAAACAAGGCTAATTCAGCTGCCCATCTCTGTTCAACTGCTCCTAACTTGGCTGACTGAAGGTGACTTAGGGGATTGTTGTCTGTGTACACCACAAATTCTGTTCCTAACAGGTAACTTCTGAACTTCTCTGTGACAGCCCACTTCAGTGCTAGTAACTCTAGTTTACGGGAACTATAATTCTGCATGTTTTTCTCTGGGGGTCTGAGCCGACGACTTGCATAAGCAATAACTCTGCGTCTACCATCTTGTTCCTGGGATAGCACAGCTCCTAGTCCATCATGGCTAGCATCTGTCTCCACTATAAAAGGCTTGGTGTAATCTGCATAACCAAGTACTGGTGCTGTTGTGAGCTTCTCACGCAGGGTGTCAAATGCTTCTTGGCACTCTTGGTTCCATTTCTCTTTAAAGGGGCACAAAAGTCTCTTGTTAACTTTGAGTTCATGAAGTGAATTGTTCACTAGCTGGTGAAGGGGTCCTGCTATCTTGGCAAAGCTTTCGATGAATCTTCGATAGTAACTTGCAAAGCCTAAGAAGGTTCTGAGTTCCTTAACAGTTTGGGGAACTGGCCACTCTTGTACAACTGCTATCTTCTGGGGGTCTGGGGCAATACCAGCACCAGATACTTCGTGTCCCAGGTAAGTTACTCTTCTACGCAGGAAGGTACACTTTTCCAACTTCAATTTCAAACCATGTTCTCTCAGGCGTTTAAGGACCATTTCTAGTCTCTCAAGGTGCTCTTCAAAGGTTTTCGAGAAGATCAGGATGTCATCCAAGTAAACAAGCAAAATCTGGAAGATCTGCTCATTTAGGCAAGCTTGCATAAGCCGAGCAAAACACGCAGGTGCGTTACAGAGTCCAAAAGGCATCCTGTTGTACTCAAACAGACCAAAGGGGGTTATGAATGCAGTCTTCGCTTTGTCCTCTTCAGTTACTCCTATCTGGTTGAAACCACTTGCCAAATCCAGGGTAGAAAACCAGCTTGCTCCCTGCAGTGCGTCAAAGGATTCTTCTATCCGAGGTAAGGGATAAGCATCCTTAACCGTTTTTGCATTTAACTTTCTGTAATCCACACACATGCGGAGGCTACCATTCTTCTTCCGTACAAGTACTATTGGGGAGGAATAGGGGCTGTGGCTCTCTCGGATGATGCCTTGACTTAGGAGTCTCTGAATGTGTTCTTTTGCTTCTTGGTACTGACCGGGGGGTATTCTTCGGAAAGGCTGATTTACAGGGATGTCATCTGTGGTGAATATCTTGTGCTTTACTGTTTCGGTGTAGCCTAGTTCATCATCATCAGTAACAAACATGTCCTTGTACTTGGCCAGGAGCTCATCAAGTTTTACTTGCTGCTCAGGGGTGCAATGCATGTCTTCAGGGGGAATGGGTGTAGACTTTGGGGAATCTTCTTTCTTGGGGGCTTCTTCGGGCTTGGGTTGTATGACTACTTCACTGGCAGAGACTTGTGTGAAGGTAACTGCCTGGTTGTCATCCTGAACACCTGCTACTGCATGCATTATACCAATTCTCTCACGGGGGCGGAGCCAAACGTCTTCTTGTGCTATGTTAGCAACTTGTACTTTGACATGTCCTCGACTGACGGATGAGATGGTGCTCATGACTACCAGTCCATGACATGACAAATCTCTTAGGGGCTCGATGAGGACAATTGCATCTTCGCCAGGCTGCAATCCTCGATAACCAGTGGCATCTACAGTTGTGACCATTCCAGCTGGGATCCTAACATCGCTTTTGCCTGCAATCTTCGCAAATCCTCTAACTGACGTCATAGCTTTCCCTGCAACTTGGAGTGTATTAGACCAAGCAGAGTCTTCTAGGAGTTTGGGTTCTTTAATCTCTTGATTCATTCTTTGTATAATGTTCATTCCAATCAGACCTGGCACAGCTTCTTTACGGGCTCTTGACTGGGGATCCGGGGGGTCTCGTACCACGAGAATACCTCTCTGAGGGATGGTTACACCTTGTGCTTCAAAGTCTAGTTCCAGGTAACCAATGTATGGTATTTCCAGGCCATTAGCAGCTGTAAGGGTAAGCCATTGGTTTGTGTCAAGTAATTTGCTTCTTCTAGGGCGGAAGTGCTTATTAAAGAAACTCTCAGTGATGGTGGAGACTTGTGATCCAGAGTCAAGAAGACAGCGTACATGTACTCCCCCCAGCTTCACAGTAGTGACTGGACAACTTCCAACTGCTCTCTCATAAACAATTCCAGGTAACTGCGGGGGACAAGGTGAGCCAGGACTGTTCCCTCCTGCCGCCTGACTCTCAGCAGCAGGGGGGGCTAGTTTGACGGGTTAGGTGGAGGCCTGGGGGTGAGGTTCCGAAGGGGCGGGGGTCTGCTTCTTGCTGTGCAATTCCGGGCAAAGTGTCCTGGTGCTCCACACTGATAACACTTGTCGCCACCTGCATCAGGTCGAGGCTGACGCTGCTGAAACTGGGGCTGGAACTGGGGCTGAGGCTGTATATTCTGTCCTCTGTGGGTGGGCACTGTATTCAGCTTCTTGAGATTGGCTGCTAGGTCTTCGATAGCCTTTTGCTGGCCTTGCAGGGTTTTAATCATCTCATTCATGGCTGATTCGAGGGAAGAGGGCTTAGCGGAGGTACTGGTCTCATGCGACGAAGCCACCCTGGGGCGCGGTCCACAGGACTTCTCGTCTTCTTCGGCCCATCGAATAGCTTCCTCTCTGGTGTCTAGAAAGGAAATTTCTGGGTGTGTTCTGATAAACTTCTTGAGTTCCTTTCGAAGGAGGGGATCTCTAACATTTTCGGCGAAGTGGTCTCGAAGGGCTGCGTCTTGGCCAGTTGATTTGGTCACACTTTTCTTTTCTATCTTGGCTTGCAGTTCTCTCAGGGCATGGGAGAATGCACGAAGGGTTTCGCCTTCCCTCTGTCGGCGGTCGTAAAAGGCTTTTAAGAGCTGGGGAACAGAACGCTTCTCGCCAAAAGACTCTTGAAGGAGGTCGAAGATCTTATCTGAATTCGTAAGGTCGCTTTTAGGATAGAGCTTCATTTCTTCTTTAGCAGGGCCCTCTAGGTATGAGAGTACAAAATTCGCCTGCTCTGGGAGGGGGAGTCCTCTTGAGGTGATTGCGCTTTTCGCATTATCAATAAAATCCTCTATGGACAGTTCATTTTCACCATGTCTTCCACTAAACTTCCTCAATTTTTGTTCATTGGGGATCACCACTAACTGCTTTTCCTGGGGTTGGGATGGGGCTGGAGCTCCTGGGGATTCCTTAGCTTGGAGGGTTTTCAGGAGTTGATATGCCTGGTTGTGTTCGTCCTCCAATTTCTGGAGCTTCTGTTTGAGTTCCTCCACCTCACCCTCCATATGGGATGTGACCTCTATTGCCCTTTTCTACTCCTAGTGCTTTATTGTATTTCTAAGATTTTGGAAGCCAAATAATATTCGCTACCCCACTCCTGGTACCAAAATGTGACCGAGCCGCGCGAGTAGGGGAGGTAGCGAATGACGACCAATGAAAGACAAAACGCATACGAAACAAACAAGAAGTTAATGGCCAATTAGTGGAAAAGAAATACAATAACAACAAATACTAGAAAAACGAATAAAGCAACAAAAAGGGAACAAAAGGGCGATGAAAAGGGCAATAGCGCTAAAAGGAAACAACGACGCTAAAAATTACTAAGACGGCTAAGCAATACAACTAAGGGAACAAAAGTACACTAAAATGTAAAAAGGTAAACAAAACACGCTAGGAAACATGCTAGGTCACGAAAGAAGAACAAGCGTGACAAATAGCACGTGACTCGTGTCAGGAGTCATATGATACGAAGACAAGAAAACAAACGCTAAACGAGGTCAAACTGAAAGGTTGTGATCTACGATCTCGCATAAAACGGTGACAAAACTACGCAAAACACTAAGCTAAAGGAATAACAACGGCTAAGAAACGAAAGGATAATGACTTCAGAGCGAAAGTGCTCGATACAACAGCGGAAAACAACAAAACCAAGAAACGATGAAATCTACAACAGCAAAGTAATACTACGGTCGCTGGACGTTTCATAAACACGATGACCTCGGAGGAGAACGAAAAACATCCTACGAAAAACAGCAAAAGGAGAACACTTACCCACTCCAGCGAGGGGAGAACTCTACAAAACTATGTCCTACGGCTTGACTAGTGAACGCGGGAACTGGAACTGTACTAATGCGTAGAAACGCTACGTGCAGGCGTATTTATATCGCACTGAACACAAACAGCTCGCATCCTGTTATTAGCAATACGATTGGACAACTACAGCTAGGTAAGCCACAAAACAGTGAAATCTGCCTTTTGGCAATACGCCTGTTTGCGAAACACTATTATCGCTTTACCGCAGAATACATACGTGTCCTGTTAATACAATAGGAGGAAACAAATGGAGAGTTTCGCGGTTAACTACAGCAATGGCGGCAGATTAAAGCGAGCTAAAATCAATTAATTTCTTTCCTGTTTATGGGTGTAAAGGCGGAGAAATCACAGAGCTAGATAAAGCACGGCTAACCACAAAGCACAACTAAAGAAACGCGTACCGTGGGAAAACGATAAACGGAACCGCAAAAATACCGAAAAGAAAATGCTTTGTGAGCTAATTATCGAGCTCGGTTACATAGAGTTTGCACACAAAGGTTTTAGCTTTGGCAAGAACGTCAGCACTGATTTGGCTTTCTTTTCCAAGGTGTTCCAAGAGTTCATCAGGTGCATCTTCGAAGACTTTCCATGCCGATGCCTTGCCCACACCATAGAACTGGCTTGTCGTATCACAGCCAGTAATGGCATGAAATGCCAGAAGCGACTTCCTCTTCTCCTCGAAGAGCGGGATTCTGTGAACTGGCATGTAACGCTTTTGTCTTGATGTACCCGCAAACATCCATATCTCTTGGCAAAGCTGCTCTCGGTGTGCCAAAAGGAGGACAAGAACGTCCGTATCACGACACAACTTGCTTGTACCCTCTTGCTGCTGCGTCTCGGGCGTTCAGTACTATTCTAGTATCTGCCTCCTCATGATCTGATGCGAGCTCTCTTATATCTTGTCGTGATGTGTCAGATGACCACACCTTCAGTGTATCCTTGAAGCCTCCATTGATCACCCGCTCTCGCCCAGGAGGCGCTCTGTAACTCTCCGAGATTTCAGTCGAGAGGAAATGAGCTAGGCTAGCCTTGTTATCTTCTAGAATGATGAACCTTTCCCAGTTTCCGATTCTCTGATCTCTGTTATCCACATTGCGGGTACATCAAGACATGTATTCTTTTCTTATTCTTCTGTATTCCTTTTCTCCTTGCGCTTGTCTCTGGTCCCTCCTTTTATCGAGTTCTTGACATATCTGTCAAATAGCACGTCAACCCTTGTAGAACTGTCCGAAAAATGGGAAGTGACATGACGAGGAAATCGGTCACTCCACTCACCAAAGGTTTTTGCTCCTGAAGAGTTGGCGAGGGACTGAACAGCTGCCATTCCATCAATAATAGTGCAAGTTTGACTCCTGCTGATGGGCATTTGGCTCTTACAGACATTTCCTTGTAAAATGATACCAAGATCCGACTTCCCTACTTCTCGTAGACTTCCGTCTAAGGTAGCAAGTGACTTTAGGACTGGAGCAAGCTCGCTTTGAAGCAACGTATTGACATCTACATCACGACCGGATTCCAAGGCTACTATCACCCTTCTCAAGAGATCTTTGTCTGCTTTCATGGCGATTGTCTTGCTCTTATCAACTGACACTGGTACAGTGTAAAGTGTCTCAAAGGTTTTCACCTTCTGTTGCTTTAGAGTGTCATGGAACTTTTCTTTCTTGATTAGCCTGGTTTCAAGGAACTCTTTGATGACTTTCTTACCAATTTCCCAAACGCTTGTTTAATGGCGTTACTTGCCACATCTCCAGTGGTAACTACAACTAAGTCAGACGTACATCGGAAGACCTCTTATTTCGTAAACTGCGCCTCCAGCTTAGCTACATCCTCTGCATCTTGTCGCATTCTGGCTTTTCCCAGATCTTTGGCGCTAGTGCATTCTCTTTCTAAGACGTTAAACATCTCTTTGATGTCTTCTGACAGCTTGGCGCGCTCATTGTAGGTAAGACACCAGCGATCTCGAGCCGAGTCTGTTCTTGTAATTCAAACAAGGCCTACAGCTACCTTTCCAGATTTGTTTACATGCCCCAGTGCAATTTGATTGAAGGTGCTGGCTGTCTCCTTTGTGACAAAGTCGCCACTCTCAAATACCTACTGGACCTCAGGGGCAGTCTGCGGAAGCATCTTCATGTCTTCAAGAAATATGACGCCCCATCTGGTGTAATTCGAGTGGTCGAAAGCCGCAAAATAGGGTAGCATTTCGGAGAACGAAGAGAGATACAGATCCCACTAATAATTCCTGAAGAGCTTACTGAAACAATTAATCAATAACGCTATTCACACAGCTAAGGCTAATTCAGTATCTATTCAGTGGTTGTTAACTAGTCACGTGACCCATCATGGCTTATCACCTATTGCATTTTTGTGTTTTTATTGTTGGAAGTGTAAATCGGAATGAGAAACGTCAGTAAGTTGAAAACGATATTAAAGGAAAGTGTGAATAGAGCGTCTTTTATGCTTTGAAATCGATTTATTGGAAAGTCACGTGACTATTCATAACTGATCACGTGACGCATTGTATCTCCCACAATACTGTCTATCGAGCTCTAAACGTCAAGTAGCAAAGATTCAGCTATTTCCCCGTCGTATTGAGCACTGTTTATTGGGTTTATATAAATGTTACAGTTCAGCCTCGTTTTCATGCTGCAGGAGCGAGAGCCTAGACAAAAAACCCGCTTAATGACAGATATCATAACATTTGGAGTGGGCAACAGCACAATTCTTAATCAGGATGGCAAGATGAAGATTTTAAGCCCTGTTGCCTGCTTCTACTCAAAATGTTTAGCGAAAATGAAAAATGAGCGCCCTGCGTGACAGTGCTTCCTGACTAGAAGGCGCAAAAATTTGCAATTCACATTTAAGATCGGACAACAAAACAGAGAACGGTGAAGTCTTATGTGCGAAACTAGCTTGTAATTTCTAAAGCAGAATGGCTCAATAGTACTGAAGAAGTCTCAGTTTCTTATTTTATGCTGACACAAGAGGTTCCTTTTTACTACTTTCATTGAATTCTTGTTTCTGTTAAGGACCCTTGCATTTGACAATACATAGAAGTTCCCAGGGGGAAAATTATACTGTTTTATTGTATTTAACTTCCCTGTGCCTGCAAAAGAAAACTGTAAGTTTGTAATCCATAAAATTAAACAACTTTGAAATTCTATAATTAAGTCAGTATTGTCCTAAATAGACTGCAAGTTGCCTTAAATGAAAGAAAATTTCCTGACAAATAAAATGATATATGGCTTGCTTTATACCAAAATGCTTCCTTCAATGTGAAAAACGCAATTTTTTCAATCATGTCCATTTTAAGGCACAAGCGCAACAGTTGCTGGTGTCCTGGACACTTCTTCTTCAGAATAAAAGCCGGTGGTGAAAGGGTTAAAGGTAGCTAGTTTTCAAAACTGGTCAATTCGTTCTTATAGTTACTTTCCTTTAATCTAAGCCAACTGCACCTTTAGAGTTAAAGAAATCTTTTCTTGATAAAAATGCAGTTTTAAGTTTAAAAAAAAGACAGCTACAATCATTACTGTTAGGCCTGGTTCAAACATCGAACTTCTCATGTGCCGAACTAATGCACAAATTACTAAAATTTATTTCTCCCTGTTTATAGCATTCTGGACCATTGAACATCGTGAAAATGAATTGAGTTTGGCTAATTATTTCAAAGTTTGACGTCTGAATTAACCTCAAACTTATATCATTTGTGTCAACCTAAATAGATATTAATTAAGTGTGATACATGATAAGATCGACGTTTGAACTGGGCCTTACCTTTCTTTTCGGCAATTTTCCTCTGCCAAGGCAGACGACGTTAGGTAGAAAACAAGCAGTCGCCATGCGGCCGCGAGCTAAGTTGTGAATGAACTCAGACATTTTAATGTAGATTCTTAATTCTTCATGAAGGAGATGTAGTTGTTGACCACCAGAAAACTAAAGAAACTTGCATGAGTTTGCTCCTTAAATTTACGGTGTTTATTCACAACTGCATGTATATTGCAAAGCTAGCTACTAATTATGCAAAGTCCATTACAATGATTATAATCTGTACTCTTTTTAAACCATTTTTTGTTGTAGGAATTAACTTCTATTTGTACTTAGAGTTTGTGTAGTATTCTTGAAGTCAAACTCCTTGGTTAAATTTACCTGTAACTCACATACTGCATACGAATCTGCTTGATTTTGCTCGGCTTAACAGGTTGAAATATTTTCGGGTAGTTTAAGCGCTACCAGCAGGTTCTTAAACCACAGGTTCTTATTAGCGAGTGTGTGTTTACTGTAAGCACGGTAACATTGTTTTGTTTCGTTGACAGTTAGTGGTGTATAATAATTTGTGCAGAATGGAAAACAATACAATCCAGATTCAGTTGGTTTGCAAAAAACATCCTCATTATTTACCAGCTTCTCAAAAGCTCTTCTCGTTGTAGATTCATGTTTTTAAGCTTAAAATGCTCCAACTAAATTCTATGCCACATCAAAGAACACGTATACCTTTGAAATCTGCTTCAGGAAAATTTGATCTGAATTAAAATGTCAAGTTTGGCTTATGAAAACTTTGATCTCTGAAAAGTCTTAAGACCAGGAATCTCCTGCTTTAATTGTTGGTATACAGTAGGTGAAACTCTGCAGCGATTACCTTAAAGATGAAGATCTGTAAGTGTTGATTATGGGAAGATACAGCTGTAGGTATATATAAATAATATAATTAATGTTGACACTGTTGCTTTGGGAATTTTAGTTTTAAAAATTCTTATTATAGAATATTTAAAAGTGGCACAGCAGTGTCAATGACCTTGTTATCATAGTCAGGGATAATCATTGAAAAGCTATATTCAATAAATATACATGTATGCTTATAAAAAATATGATTCTTCTTTTTTGAATTGGCTAGGGGAAAATCAGCAAAGTTTGCAAGTGGTCAGGAAAAAGCATAGGTGTTGTTTCGGTATGTGAAAACTCAGCAAGTTTATTTTTTTGTTAAACGTTTTCTGAAAGACAGTGAAAATTATAATGTAGGTATAAAAAACGAAGAGAGTTTTTTTTTTATTTTGGCGGGGGGGGGGATTTTTTTTTTAGTTTAAGTTTTTTTTTTATTTTGGCGGGGGGGGGATTTTTTTTTTAGTTTCTGTTGAGTTTCTCTTTTTAACGTGATTATGAAAAACAAGCAAACAAAACCTAAAAAAAGAAAAAAAAAGTCGAATAAGGTGTTGTCTGTTCGAGTGTTAGTGAGAGAATTTATACATGAAATTGTTTGTTATTAACTTGAAAAGAAGCTATGACATCACTGCCTATATATAAAAGGTAGTAAAATTAATATTCTCAATATATTATGGCCTTGTTCCCAAGTCATCAGCTAACAAGGTTATTATGATCACTACTAGGATGTTGACATCTGATATTAAAGCAAGTAAAAAAAAATGAAAACATTACTGTCAACTCATGCTTAATATTAGTCTGTCATTCACTGATTTGAAAAATGTTTTAAGTAATTTATGTTTTAACAGCTGTACATAAAATGGATAATCCAGTCACACCCAGCGAAACCAACCAACTGTTTATACATTGTACCTGTAGCAAAATTCAAACCTTGCCTCTGATGACATTCATAAATAAGATAATTTGCACTGTTCACTTGCCGTAATGTCTTTGAGTTTATTTTAGTTTTAAACAACAATTAAAGGGGTGTGTAGAATTAAGAAAAATAATAATGAAGTGACTCTTGATCCAATATCAAATTCTCCCTGTGATCCAAAAGCATCAACACAGCGAATTCAAGGGAGAATTTAGTAGTGAATCAGAGGTCAGTTAGGGATTTGTTCCAATCAGGGTTAAGTTTCTACTCCACCAGGCTGAAAAAGAAAAGAAAAGCCTGTAGGATCTTCAGGGATTAACAAAGGTGATTTAAAGGATCACATAACCTTGCAAAGATTCCTGCAAAGAACCTTAAGGTTCAATAGTGAGAAATTACATTCTCATCACTCTTAGAGTAAAAAGGGTCATGTTACATCAGTAAAGACTGACCAGTTCTTTAATTTGGGTGATCTTTGTGTGCAGCAATGTTATACAGAGCCGTAGCTACACTGTAGCTGGGGAGGGGGGGGAGCTGCCCCCCTGAACCTGTTGAGCCAGGCAAATCAAGTCTGCAGATGGATTTGTTTTCTTTAGACTCAGTTATTTGGCTTGTGGTGACTTGCACTTGTAGGCCATTTTCGTGGCCAAGAAATAATGGTTGGTTATGGTGTGTGCAAATAGTAAACTAAAGGAAGCAAACCCCTTATTGAAATTGGCGTGTATTATTTGAACTATTTGCAAGATTCACTCTAATTTACAGAGAGTGCCTGTAATGGCGCAGCCTGTACATGTAACTAGTCTAGTAGCGAGTAGAATCCTGGGATAGAATATGGTGTTTCGGAGCCTCCAAATTTTAAAATTTTTTGGAGGAGGATAGGCCCAGACCCCTCCGACAAGGCTTGTGCCTTTGGCACTCATGATAATGCCCCCCCCCCCCCCCCCC